TTTTTAAATAGAGACTTAAACTCCTTAGCACAGAACTGAGGACTTTTTCTGTAGTCTGGCCCTAACACCTTCTCTGACATTTCCTCCCAGTATTTCACAACTCTGTCTACTACACGAATGAACCAAATTTGTCTATTCATTATCCCAGGGACAAGCAATAAACTCATCTCCCTCAACTGTGTTTGATTCAAATCTTCCTTTCTACTTGTTGAAACTATACCCAGTTTTTAAGCTCTTATTCTCACTATCCCCATCAGGCTTCGGGGGCTGATAATGTTCCCTGTGCATACGTCTGTCCCTACTGTCACAGCAAACCATCTGATTCACTTTAGAAATGGGTAGCCCTGTTGCCTTCGTGTACCATCCCATAGCACCCCCCCTTAAGATCCTTTGTTGGTGGTACATGAAGACGATGACAGGAGAAAATAAGTGCTGGAAGGATCCAATGAGTTCCAGCTAAAAACTAACCTAGCACACTATTGCTGAGTATCTTTCTGGGGAACAAGGAAATATTTATTGAGTATCTTCTACTTTCCAAGTACCTTACATGAATTATGTCTAATCTTAGAAACACTGCAAGAAACATCTTATTATTCCCATTTTACAGGTATGGAAGATAAGATAAAGCTCAAAGATGTTACATAACCAGCCCAGGTCACATATCTTGTAAACTGCATATTGCTAGAACCTGTTTCCTAAAGCCAGGATCCATACTTTGCATACTCCCATCTATACAAAGCCATGTTTTAAAGGCATGGACTTTAAAGCTAGATGGATCTGGGTTTGATCAAGCATCTGAGACTCACTAGGTCTTTGACATTAGGCAAGTTATTTAACTTCTCTAAAAAGCTTTAATTTTCTCTGAGATCTAATCTGTGCATCTCAGAGTCAAGGATTAGATGACAACATGCATTTAAAGTACCAGTGAGTGACTAACACATAAGAGTTAACATTTAATATTACTATTTCCCCCATTATAGACTTGTGATTCCACTACAGATATTCCCAAACCAGATATTCCAGAATCCTATTTCCTTTTTCATGAAATGAGACAACCAGACCTTTAAGGATAAATTTTATTCAAATCTTGCATCACATTAGAATACTTCCAAATTCAAACATAATATTAGTCAAATGTTTAAACAGACAAGTCAAAGTTGCAGAAACAGAACAAAATATTCTGAAGAAGTTACTATGAACAAAAAGTCATCCTCCTAAGTAGCATCGTATAATAGTTATAAACCTATCATTTTTAATTTAAAACACTTTATTCAAAGGAAACCATAGTAGTTTTTTTAAACGTTAGTAATGTGTTAGCAAGTTGAGCAAAATAAACCTCCCAACTTATTAGAAACATAACACATTTAAAGGGAGAAGGAAAATCCCAGATCCACATGTGCAGCAATATCCCTAAAATACACAGCACAGTCATTTGAGAGCTATTTTTGTTTCTGACACATCAAAGTTTTAAAAAATGACAACTTCTTGTGATTACATGCTCTTAGTTTTCTCAAATACTCTGTTGGTCTGGATAAGAGTCCACTTGCTTAAGAGCAGTTTCTCACTGGCCACATCTATGGCTCCACCGTTAAATCTCCATCACCTTCAGACCCCTTTTCTGAAACAAGAAGAAAAAAACCTCAAATCGAGAAAGAAACATGAAAAGAATCAAACAAACTACATGGATGCCACCAAAAACATTTAATTGGGGAAATTTTGAAATATTAAATTTTAAGCAAATTAAAAATGGGGAGAAGGGACGTGAGTATTCTAATTATTGTAGAGAATTGTTCCTACAGAAATGTTTTTTCTCTTCTTAGTATTTTGGTTCTCACACTCTACCTATTATCAAGCAAAGTTTCTCTAAAAGATTATGAAATTGGCATATGTTGTATTTTGCTAGAATGACATAAACAAGGCTAATAACTAATTAGTCCTTATTCTCTGAGCATGTATATTTTTTACATACTGCAAAAGGCACCAAGAGCCGACAGCATTCACAATGTGCCTCAATTCTAAGAACAAGTGTGTTATTTATGTACAAGACTATGCCATAACCAGGTTATTCCAACAAATTGAATCTTATGTAGATAAACTAAAAATCCAGAAAAAATCCCAAGACATCCTTTAGCATGCAAAGAATGTTTGAATACTTGAACTAATTAACACTGAGAACATGCTATAATGTATGAATTTCTCAGATTCACAATCTAATTTTCAAGATGAATTCACTCAACAAACAAATTTCCTATGATATTTCAAGAAACCCTCTTCTTGGTTATTTCTCCCCATAAGCACATTTCACATTTCCAGCTAAAGAGTTTCATTTTTTTCTTTTCTCCTACTAACACCCAAGGACATTGATAAGCCATTTTGTTTGAGGATTCAGGGTAATGATATCTTTAAGATTTGGCTATCTGGGTGATAAAAGCATTTTAAAAACACAAGTTACCTTTAAGGGCAGTACTATCCAATGTCATGATGTAAAGATCTTTTCCCACTGTTTGGAATATAACCTAACAAAAGAAACCTCTGAATTAATACCAATTTTTTATTATAGACACAAAATAATCAAAATGGTAAACAACAAAAAACTAATTCTTTAAAAGTAGGGCAAACCGATTTCATAGTGAAGAATCACTTCAAGTACATTTTTTATTTTTCAAATATTCATTTCTCTGAAACATCTCCACTGGAGCATTCCACACAGGGAGGAAGGTATGCTTTTCCAATTTTAAGCTCCCTACGATCCACAACTTTGGAGTTTGGTGCATTGTTTACAGAGATGCTACTCAAACATATTAACCACGGTGAGCCACAGATACTTTATTAAAGACTTAATAAAGGGTATTTCTCCTATATTCCATTCAACAACAAATAGCACTGTGTGCATGCATGATGACTATACAGAAATTAATTCATGAGACATATTCTTATGGTGAAATGAAATAGCTTAAATGAAAAAAAATTTTTTAAAAATGTAGTCA